AACACGTTATGTTTTGTTATGAGCTATCTTGAAACAAGAGTAACTAGCATCTCTCTCTCTCTCTCTCTCTCTCTCTCTCTCTCTCTCTCTTTGATTGGTGAGCCTGAGACACAGCGAGCTAGGGATTCGGCTACTTGCATTTGTTTGTAGCTTCAGAAACTAAACTTCATTCATTTGTCATTGCCATTGGTATCCCAATGGTAAGCTCCCAAAAAAATCAGCTGTTACTGGTTTTTATCATTAACAACGCATCTTTCTGGAAAGCTCTCTGAAGGTTTTTCAGCTTAGGGGGTGAGTTTATGATTTTCACTAACATTACAAACTTCCAGTAAATTTGCCAAATATAGGAAGTTAAATGTAAGGGAAAAATATGTTTTTTTAACTTTGAAATTAAATGAGGTGATAAGTGGATTTTATGTAACTGTTAACTTCCTCAAAAAAAAGAAGTAATTTTATGTAACCAAGGCTGAAAAATGATTAAATTTCAAGTAAGCAGGAGTAGATCAAGCTTATGCATTTAGGTAAGAGATTCATGCTTGTGGAGTTCCTACAATGGATAAGTTGCCTCCTATGGCATTCGACTAAGCAACATTTCTCGATCTTCTGTGCATATTTTTTGAAAACCATCTGTGTATTAAGTCTACATAGTTATGTTTTTATCAAGGTCAGTTGTATTAATTTCTTTGGGCATCAGAATAAGTTAGTTCGCACAGCCTACATGGGAAAAAGGCCTTTCGAGCGTCTAGAAGCAGTGCGCTACTTAGTTAAGTTGTGTCCGATGTTGACTCTTTTGCCATGTTTGATAGGTTGTCTTTGGAAATGCCGCCATGCCGCAATTTATCGAATGGCAACCTGCTTAGGTTACTTTTGCTATACTACAAGTGAGAGTCGACTTTGTGCTAGCTACAGACTTAGCTAGCATCGCATTGGACGGTGTGAGTGGCCAGGGGGTTCGCCTGGGTATCGTAGGGTAAATATGAATTACATTAATTCTACCTTTGTTCTGCGCAGGAAACTCATGGATTTGAGTTAGAGTAAGTATTGTAAGGATGATCACATGTGGTCCTTGGTTTGGTAAATGAGGGGCTTGTCTTTCTTGTCCATGCATATCAATGGCTCCTTGATTCTTGTCATTTGTTGGTGGTGGAGATTAACCAATTTTTAAACTTCAGATTTAATTTTATAACGTTAATTGCTGAAGTTTTGGGGGAGTAAATTGGGCAAACTCTCGAATATATTTTTTTTTAATTTCAATGCGTGTTGCCTATATGAATTGGTCTAAGAACGGTGAGGACCTTAAATTTTCCCTTAACTCGTCCCATGTTCGGGTAAAAGGGTTGAGTGGTATTAAGTAGGCAGCCAGTATAAAATTTTACCAAAAGTTATCGTAAATCTTGAACCTACAGTATCTGCTTATGCTAGGGTGGTCCCTTGAAGCGACACACTGTATCAAAACCCTGGTGCAGTGAGAAATGAGCGAGGGTTAGCTAGGGCATTTCCCATAAGCGACTGGCTGCAGTGTCGCCCAGTTGCGGTGAAAAATAGGCAAGGCTTACCGTGATAATTTGGATGAGCTCGGGTAAAGAAGTTAGTCCAAGATAATAGGATTTGTCTAGTCACATGGAATGTAGAAATGCTTACAAAGAAGAGTATGGAGTTAGTAGATACAAATGAGAGTAAACATAGCATGTCTACAGGAAACTAAATGAAAAGGAGAGAAAGCTAAAGAAATAGATGGATATAAACTTTGGTATACAAGAAAGGATAATAATAGAAATGGTGTAGGCGTAATAGTAGTCAAATATTTAAAAGATAAAGTAGTTAATGTCAAAAAGAATAGATGATAGGCTCCTATTAATTAAACTTATAATAGGGGAAGAGATAATAAACGTAATTAGTGTTTATGCACCACAAGTACGATTAGAGGATAGAATTAAGAGACAATTTTGAGAGGATGTGGATGGACTAGTCCAAGGCATACCATATGGAGAGAGAACGTTTTAGTAGGGGACTTAAATGACCATGTAGGGAAGGATAGTAGAGGATATGGTACATGGGGGATATGGGTTTGGGGAAAGAAATGAGATGGGTGAGGCTATTCTAGATTTTGCTATAGCCTATGACCTAGCAATAGCAAACACTTACTTTAAAAAATACGATGCACTTTAATAACCTATAAAAGTGAATCACGTAAAAGCCAGATACACTTCTTCTTAATTAAGAAGGTAGATCGACCATCATGTAAAGACTGCAAAGTTTTCACAAGAGTGAGTGACTACCCAACATAGGCTCATGGTTATGGAAGTCTTCATAAAGACATAGAAGAGAAGTGGTGAAAGTAATAAGTGTCCAAGAACTAGGTGGTGGAATTTAGAAAATGAGAAAATAGATTTATTTATGAAATAGAAATGATCAAAACTTAGAAGAATATAAAAATGTTAAGAAAAATACTAAACAAATAATAAGTACGGCTAAACTTAAGACATATGATAACCTATATAGTAAACTAAGAGCAAGAAAAAGTGACAGAGATGGCTTCAAGTTAACAAAAACGAGAGAAAAAAGTGAAGGGTTCTAGACACTATTAATGCATTAAGAGTGATGATTAAAGAGTCTTGGTGAAGGATGAAGAGATTAACAAAAGGTGGAGAGTTGATTTTCAAAAATTATTAAATGACGAATATGATGGGAACATAGTGGTAGAAGGAACCATTGTTATAAATGAGGAGGAGGTCAGGATATTGGAAGTGAAAGAAGCTTTGAAAAGGAGGATAGGAAGGGCTTTAGGACCGAATGATATCCCGATAGAGGTTTAGAGGTGCATGGGGGAGATTGTCATTGACTGGTTGACGACACTGTTTAACAAGGTGTTGAGAACAAAGAAAATGGCAGACGAATGGAGGAAAAGTGTTGTGATACCTATTTACAAGAACAAAGGAGACATACAGAATTATGTAAATTATCGAGAGATCAAGCTTACGAGCCATACTATGAAGCTCTGAGAGAGAGTTGATTAAGCAACGACTAAGGCATGAAACAATTGTATCTGAAAACTAATTTGGTTTTATACTAGAGATGTCAACAACTAAGGCTATTTTCCTACTTAGGCAATTGATTGAGAAGTTTAAGGCGAAGGGGAAAGACCTCCACAACATGATCTTTATCGATGATTTAAATATTCAAGTAATATTTTAAAATTTATTTTTATTATTTTTAAATATATAAAATTTTATAAGACCCATTGTGCATATGGGCTACCATATTTTAGAAGGTGTCACGCCACTTTTAGAGGGAAGCCTATCGGGTCGACACTTTTTTAGAGGAGTTTTATCCCACGAGTGGACACTCCTATTTTTATGGTTTGAGTTGAAGTATTTTATTCATATTTGAGTGAATCTTTTAGAAAGCATATAAGGCTTTCAATATATTTGGATAAATCACAATATTTTAATTAGTTAATTTTTATTTAATAAGATAATGATTAAAGAAAGATGGGAATAATGGTTCGGCACATTCCGTATTGTTGATTGCACATCTATGGACTGAATGACTTATATCTTTCATCCCGTAATTTCGTGTGAAGCAAACAATGAAAAACCTAGATCCAATATTATATGGTCATATCTCTCTCATTTCTCTCACGCATCCCTCTCTCCCTATCCTATTTTAAAAGGGCCCCCCATCCTATTTTAAAGGGGAAGTACGCCCCTATTTTTTCTCTGTTTTATCTCTTTAAAAAAAAAAAAAAGGGCATGCTCCTTTTCTCTCTCTCAATATTCTCTCCCTCATCTAAAAAATAAAAAGGTGCACGCGCCCATTCTCTCTCTTCAACTTCATCATTAAAAAAAGTTCACGCCCCATTTTGGTATGTCTAAGTGCTCAAGAAAATAGGGAAAGGAGAATTTTTGCCTTAGTATTTTTGGGGTTAATCTTAAATATCTTTTATGAACATATGGGTTCCATTGAAAAGCTTGATCGAAATTAGCTTTTCAAATTAAATGAAGACTATCGATCCCACGTCATCGGATGGATCTCTGGCATTCTTCTTTTGTTTTTTGCATATTTGATGTTTACATTCTCAAGCACAATATTTGTGATAATTTTTTTTTATTAAAAACAATTGATTTATTGACATCAAAGTTCTCTAGAACTTGGATTTGTAAATTTATATTTTATTTGAAGTAAGAGTTATTGTAATAAGACTACTTGCAAGTGATCTTTGTCAAAAGAAAAGAAATGAGAGGAAAAAAAAAAAAAAATCTTCGACAAAATCGCATTGATAGAACTTTCAAGATACATAGAGACAATTCATTTAGATTGAGAAATTATAGGAGAAATTTAATTATTGGCATGAATAAATCCTCGGACCCTCCATTGTATCGGGTGACCGAGTATGCGATCCTATTGTGGAGACTTCCCAACAACACCAATAAAAAATAAAATACAAATAAGAGTTATGACATTCTGAATTCTTTGACATTTTCTTTTTCAAGAAAATGGATAAAATATAATTATTCATATATTTTAATAACTTTTATTTATGAATTTATGACTAAAAATTAATCTCCACAAATTTCTATCGGTAAATTCTCCTAATAGTTTTGCATTAAACCCTTTTATTAGTTTTTTCGTTATACCTCCCAAGGCATGCCCTTACACACAAATACGATACAGTTCTTGAATGGAAAATGTGACATATCATGGAAATTAACCATGATTTTGAGTCCCTGCTTATTTATTTTGTTTAATACGACTTTCTTTGTAATCTCTCCTGGTTTGAGGGTGTGGAATCTAGTGTCGAATCTAGAAGAAAGATGATTTGTGCCTTCTCCAAGTCTTTGGATAAATATGATTTCTTCTTACCAATTCCTAATAGGTATAGCTTGATTCATTATCTACTTTGATATGTATAAATTGACTGATTATGTACTTAGATGTGTAATCTTTGGTTATACTGTTTCAGGAGAAGGCCATCACTGTTATGATTATAAACTAGGAATCCCTTGCCATTTTCTTTCCTATGTGGGTTCTACATTTTAAACTTCAATTCAATCTATATGAATTGGTCTAAGAGGGGTGATGAACTTAAACTTCATTTAACCTGTCCCAAGCTCGGGTTAAGGAAGTGGATTGTATTAGGTAGGTAGCCAATGTAATACTTTGTAAAAACTTTTTATAAATATTGAATCTCCTACGTAAAATATTTGCATATATCAATGCTTCTCATTTTTTTGAAAGTCTCATGAACACTTTATTTTCTCTCCTTCATATTTCTATGTGAAAACCCATCTTCTCCTAAACTTGTGTGTAAGCACTCCCAAAAAATGTCATTCATATTTTTTTTCTTTTTTGGAAAAAGTTTAATGTAAAGTTGCAACCTTGAAATGTAGAATGAAATGTAGAATTAAGGTGTACCTAAAAAATCTATAGGACGTTTTGAATTTGGAAAGCCCTCTAATTGATCATCATGATATTGAGATGTATGAATAAGGAGAAAAAAAAAGAAAAAGATTTTGCGTCCCAAAAAATAGTGCATCTTGCGACACATTATCTGAACCGTCTATTTTCAAGATTATTATACGTTTAAGATCTACTTGATTTGAACCATTTTTGGAGTCTAAAATTTTATAATTAGAGATGAAAATGGATTCTCATGCCATCCAAAAAATTTTGATGCCAAAAGTGCATCTTGTGATAAATTTTGATGGTGCACATAACTTGGATAGTTTACGGTTGCAACCTTATGCAAACCACACTTTTTTTTTTTTGGTTCTAACATCCTTAATTTAGTGCCTATAAGATCTTTTGTACATTTTGTATTTCTAAATTTAATCCTGTCATCTACATAGGGTTCCCTTGCTAGAAATACTAAGTATGGGTGAAACAAGGGCAATATGACAGTATTGTTGGAGGAATTTGGAAAAACAAATTAATGAGAGATCTTCCTGCTTTCAAACAAATTAATAAGTTAGATCGAGACAATATCTGCCCTATATTAATAACAGGTTTTCCAGGTAAATTTATCCTCAGGTCACTTGAAAACTTAAGATCAAACAATTATCTTGACAATTAAAATGCACGGTAACAACAAAATCTCAGAGCTTGTTTGAAAGGTCGTGATAACAAGTAAGAAAGTTGTGATTTGGGAGTG